CCTGCCTCAGCCTCCTGAGTAGCTGGGATTACAGGTGTCCATCACCACGCCCAGCTAATTTTTTGTATTTTTAGTAGAGACAGGTTTCATTATGTTGGCCAAGCTGGTCTCAAACTCCTGACCTTGTGATCTGCCCACCTTGCCTTCCCAAAGTGCTGGGATTATAGGCACGAGCCACCACGCCCGGCCAGGGGTGTACTTGCTTTATGCAGCTGCTGCTTCTCCCAGACCACATTGTCCTGTTTGCGCCTTTTCCATTTTCAATACATGGTTTGTTTTTTATCTGAAATTCTACCCGTTAAAACATCTGGTATGTTTCCTCTTCTCTTGCGAGGTGTATTTCTGTATTTCCTACCCTTGCCTCCTTTGCTCAGTTCAGCTTGAAGCAGGTTTCCAAGCTCATCACTTGGAAGCACAGGGCATTGCTGCTCCCCTCCCCTCCCCCGACCACCCACCTGCAGGTCTGTGCCAGGAAGCTCTGCCTGCTGTCTGCACCCCATTTTGCTGCTTGCCCACAGCCATGACTGCTCCTGAGGGGCTCGATAGCAGCCCCGTTTCCCAGCCTGCTGTGCATAAAGGTGATGCTTCGGGTTTTCCACAGCGAGCAGTGGTTCCCAGAGTGGGCAGGGCTCCCTGGTGTCTGCAAGGGTGTGTGACCGTGCTGGATGGAAACAACCTTGTCAAAATAAACCAGGGCATTGCTGAGGGGGGAAGTGAGGCTAGCTGGGGGGAAATGTGGGCTGAATGCTTCTTGGGGAGTTTCCTCTGCACCGGTGCCCAGCTGCTCAAGGGCCCCAGAAGGCTGAGGCTGACACCCTTCCTGTGACACTTTCAGACTCGCCATTGGCCCCCAGCAGATCAGGACTCTGTTTTCCCCCGTTCACCTTGAGCCACTCACAGTGTGAAAGGTTCGTGGAACAAAAGTGATTCTCTGTCCATGATTTTCCCCTTCATTCCTGTCTTCGTCCGTCTGGGCTGCTGTAACAAAAGACCTAAACTGGGTGGTTTACAAACAATGAAAATTTATTTCTCATACTTCTCAAAACCAGAAAGTCCAAGATCAATGTGCTGTCAGATTTGGTGTCTGGCGAGGACCAGCTTCCCGGTTCAGCGTCTTCTTACTGCGTCCTCACATGGAGGATGGGGCGAGAGAGCTTTCTGGGGTCTCTTTTATCAGGGCAATAATCCCATTCATGAGGATTCCACACTCATGATCTGATCACCTCCCAAAGCCCCATCTCCGAATACCATCGCCTTGAGTGTTAGGATTTCAACTATGTGTTTTGGGGAGACACCAACATTCAAGACCATGGCAGTTCCCTGGCACAATCCTGCTAGACAAAACTCACCTTCCTGACCAGGCTCTGGTCAGAACAGTCCTTCTGTCCCTCTAATGCCAGAACTTTATGTTTCTGAGGGTGAAACCTGAGTGATTAATTCACTTGGGAGGCTGAGATAGGAGAATTGCTTGAACTGGGACCTGGGAGGTGGAGGTTTCAGTGAACTGAGATCATGCCGCTGTACTCCAGCCTGGGCTACAGAGCAAGACTCCATCTCAAACAAGAAAAAAAAAAACTGAAAGATAACGAAAGACTGAGGAGTGAGTCCAGATTAAAAGAGACAAAGGGACATGCCAAATATATATGCAACGCATGACTGCGGGCGGCATTCTGCTTTGGAAAAAAGTGTTATCGATGAAATTTGAATACCGTCTCTAGATAAGGCAACAAAGCAATAGTATACTAAATTGCTAGATAGGCAATAGTATTGCACTAAAGTTAATTTCCTGACACAACTAAATAATTGTACTGTACATAAGGTGTCAGAATTGAGAAGTTGCAAGGCTAAATGGAACTTCTCTGTGTTTTTTACACTCTTACTTTGTGCAGGTGAAACTATTTTAAAATAAAAACTAAATACAAACCATGAGACAGATTTATACGTACCAGTATGGAATGGTGTCCACCATCCATTGGAAAAGATAAGTTGTAGCACTGTTTGTTTAGAATCGGCCCATTTTTGTCGATGCAAGGCGGAGCCGTATCGTGCATATGCATATTTCTCTACACATGGGAGAAATTCTGAGAAGGGTATGTACTTCCTGTTGACAGACCTTTCTGGGAAATGTGATTGGAAGGTGTGAGACACCTTTTACTTTCTGATGTCTTTGAAAACGAAGAGCATGTTTTAACATCATAATGGGAAAACAGTGAGTATGTGGCTCGCATGCACTGGTGTATTTCTGCATGTGTAGGTTTAGTGTCGACGTCTTCCCGTTCAGCTCATTCTCTGTTCTATTTCCCTGCACGGGCAGTGCTGTGCAGTGTCTGGCCCAGTGGACACCCACCTTGTTTTCACTCCACAAACCACTGTCCTACATCTGATGCTTAACAAAGCCTGTTAGTTGTAGACACAAAGGTGGCCTGTGTTTCGTACTGATTGACAGTAATGCCAGCTGACTCATCTTACCTTTGTCTGAGGAGGCTGGAAATTGTTCACCCTCAGAAACTTCAGGGAGAAATTTGCTACTAAGATTGTATCATTTTGGTCTCCCCAGAGGAGTGACAAATTAGAAATTTCCCAAGTGACTATCATTGCATTTACCCCTTTAAGGAGCAATGATTCTTTAAGTGGAGCTTGAGTTACCTAAACCCGATTAATTAGTGAATGGTCATCTGTTACTCCCAGGAATTTTTTTTTCTTTATTATTATTATTTTTATTGCATTCTAGGTTTTGGGGTACATGTGAAGAACATGCAGGATTGTTTCATAGGTACACACGTGGCAGCGTGATTTGCTGCCTTCCTCTCCATCACCTATATCTGGCATTTCTCCCCATGCTATCTCTCCCCAACTCCCCACCCCCCACTATCCCTCCCCTATTCCCCCCAACAGACCCCAGAGTGTGATGTTCCCCTCCCTGTGTCCATGTGTTCTCATTGTTCAATACCCGCCTATGAGTGAGAACATGCAGTATTTGATTTTCTGTTCTTGTGTCAGTTTGCTGAGAATGATGGTTTCCAGGTTCATCCATGTCCCTACAAAGGACACAAACTCATCGTTTTTGATGGTTGCATAATATTCCATGGTGTATATTTGCCATATTTTCCCTGTCCAGTCTATTATCGATGGGCATTTGGGTTGGTTCCAGGTCTTTGCTATTGTAAACAGTGCTGCAATGAACATTCGTGTGCATGTGTCCTTGTAGTAGAACAATTTGTAATCCTTTGGATATATACCCAGTAATGGGATTGCTGGGTCAAATGGAGAATTTTTAATGATCACTAGGCTTTTGTAGTTAATGTGATGTTGTGTTTAGGTGGATTTAGTTTTGTGCAAGATTGTATTCAGGGCAGATGCTCCTTAATTTAAAAAGGGAGAGGTGAGAACAAAAGTGTCTTCTTTTGTGTGCCCTGACTTGTTACAAATATTGACTAGTGTCACTCTCTCTGCCATGTACTTTTCTTCCAGTTTATCATTGAGGAAACTGATGCAAAAATGTATGCTCCCGCAGGCTCTGGTGCGTCCACTGAGTTAGCTCTGGAAAGAACTGTCCCCTTCTCTCACCTGTTCCCTACTTCTTTTGCGGCTAATTCTTTGAAATGGTTTCTGCCACTGTCTCCAGCTTTCTGGGCTGTTCCATCACCTTTTTATTTTTTTTTTCTAAATGTTGGTTTCATTGTTGCCTTTTGGTTTCTTCTGCTTTTCTCTGACATGATGTCTCTATGGATACATCTCTCAGTAATGATTACAATGGTGGTGATAGCAATAAAAATAGAAAGTACCGGTGTCTTTATCAGTCCCTGGCCATGCTGGGCACAATCCTGGGCATGTGCAGGCCTGATGTTATTGTTCTGCCCACTCAGCTGATGAGGTTGTAGGGGCTTTCTGCGGGCTGGGATCTGAAAACCACAGCCAGATCCGTCTAGGATCAGAAGTTATGGGCAGGCTTACATGCTCTTTTGATATCAGTGTTCACATAGATGTTTAAGTTCCTGCAATAGGTTTTTCCAAGCCATTGAACACTGCCAAATTATGTTCCTCACACAATTATAGCTACCTATTCCCAGGCAGTATTAATATATGGTTGAACTAACATGAATACACATCATTATTTTATCAAGTGACATAATCAAGCTAATTATGAATTATCCAAATATTAATTTGCACAGCTTAAAAGCAGATAAAGTATTACAAATCTGCTTATATCATTAGCAGAAACACTTTTGGGGGGCCAAAGGGTAAGGAAAAGATGGGAAAATATTATCCTTCAACAAAAGTAATCATCTTCCAGTAAGTATAATAAAAGAAATGGCAAGCTTTTCAGAATTTCCATGGCTAAAAAGTGTTTTAGCTACAGTTAAAAAAGCATCACATAACAAAATACCTCTTGTTTAAAATATTTGCTACAAAAAAAGGCCTATTCTATATGTCTTGCATGAGACGCAAGAACCTTTTTTTTTTTTTTTTTTTGTTTTTTTTTTTTTTTTTGCTTTGAGATGGAGTCTCACTCTGTCACCAGATGGAGTGCAGTGGCACGATCTTGGCTCACTGCAACCTCCGCCTCCTGAGTTCACGTGATTCTCCTGACTCAGCCTTTCAAGTACCTGGGATTACAGGTATGTGCCACCACACCAAGCTAATTTTGCATTTTTTTTTTTTTTAGTAGAGATAGGGTTTCTCCATGTCGGCCAGGATGATCTTGATCTCTTGACCTTGTGGTCCTCCTGCCTCAGCCTCCCAAAGTGCTGGGATTATAGGCATGAGCCTTCGCTCCCAGCCAAGACACAAGTAACTTTATAAGAAATGTATTTAATAGCTCTCTTTTATTCTTTTTCTCAAGCCCTCCCTGTTAAATTGCCCCCAAAGGGGAAACATTATTGAAATGTAAAGCTTTTTTTTTGTCAAGATGTTAAAGACATACAGGTGGTATTAAATGAAGCTTTAACTCGAGTTCTGTGATTTTTTTTCAAAATAGATCTTATTTTTCTTTATCATAGGTCAACAGAAATTTTGAGAAACACATTGAAGGATCTGTTGACACTTGGTAAACCCAGTAAAAGCAGTGGTTGTGTCAGTCCTAATCTGTCTTGCTGTGAATGTGAACAACCGGAACCCAAGCTAAGCAGGTAAATAATCACATAGCACAGTCTCCGTCTTCAGCCTTTGAGATGACTACCATGGTAAACCGCGCTGTGTCGAAGATGCAATGCTAATTCTGTTGGAATTAAAAACATGCAAGTGTGGTATTAGATATTTTGGCACGCCATCATGTGAAATTTCTCATTGATAAGATTCTGACATAGGAACTACACTTGAGTAAGAATCATAGCTCAGTATGGCATGATTTCAGGGAAGTCAACTGATAAGATAAAAGTGTTTCTGGGGCGAAACAGCAAGAATCTTTTGCTAAGTGTTGGAACAGATTGACAGAAACCTAAAATCAGAAGTTGCAATTCTGCTGAGCTACTGCTTTTCTGTTCTCTGGTGGAAGCTTCATTGGACATATTGTGCATCAGGCCTCTATGTGACTGATTTATGCCTCCTAAACCATGTTTTAGATTCTCACTTCCATGGCAGTAGCTTTAGGCAGCCCAGTTTTACTGAATGCAGCAATGGTTTCAGTGACCATTGGAGCCCAATTTTAGGATGATATGTCTCCAAACTGTTAAAACTCCCTGGTGCTTTTATCTTATAAACTGCAAAATGTCTTCATATTTCATCCCATTTTTCAGTTAATGCTAGCGTGACAGAAACTGGAGCTCTCCCAAGACACGTGACACAGTAACGCAGCAGCCAACTTCTTCACCAAATTAAAGTTTTGCAAGATTTAACCTGTCATCAAGACCTGGGATTATGATGGTGAGTCATCATCAAAAGCCAAGTTCAGTCCCTGGTTTGCCTTCTTTTCTGCACAAGAACAAGGATTTTGATGGCTCTGGTCTCCAGAACCATCTGTGGCTTTCTAACAGCAATAATCGCACCTCAGATAAACCTCATTGGCTACGACCCTGCCACTACACAAAACTCATGGCTTTCTTTAATAGCAAATGGCCTCTGATTTTTAGGAAGCCCTGTGGCTGCCCTTCAGCACACTCAGGAGAGGTCTTGGCTGTTATTTGTTGTTTTACAAGGTGTCATCATTGAGCATCTTCTCTGGATCAGGCTCTGTGCTGGGCTTGAGGAGTACAGGGAAGTTTCACGTGACTCTTCCCTTTGAATGACACATGGTTGATCTCACTCCCATAGCAGAAAACAAGTTAACATCCCCCAAGGGTTGGTACATTTGCCTGCCATGTTTATTGCTGCTGTGATCACTGCAGCATGGTCCAGAGAAGGCAATCAGTCAACAGTGAATGGGCTGAGATTTTGTGATTTTGATTCAGGAGACCTCATCTCTAGGATAAAATCTAATCAAAGGGTGGGGCTGTGTTTTCTTCTTGCCTTGACTTCTTTGACTCTTTTTGTAAATTCTCGAACCCAGGCCTCTGGCTCATTCTCTCTGAAGATTCAGGGAGCTCTAAAATGTAGATGGTAACAATCTCTAGAGTATATGTGCCTTGATGCTAGGGCAATCAAATTGATTTCCTCAGCATATACAAGTCACGTTTTGTAGGCATGGTGGGTACTTAGTCAGTGTCTCAATCAGATTTACTTCTGCTTAGCAAGAGAAACTTTTGGGGGAAGTGTTATAGACTGAATTGTTTTCCTCCTCCCAGATGTGTATGTTGAAAACCCCAACCCCCATGTATTCAGTATTAAGAGTTGGACCTTTGGAGATAATGAAGATTAAATGAGATCATGAAGGTGGGGCCCTCATGATTGGATTAGTGCCCTCAAAAGAAGAGACCCCAGAGAGCTTGCTATCTCTCTTCTCTCTCTGCTATGTGAGGAGACAGTGAGAAAGCAATCATCCACAGTGCAAGGAGAGGGCCTTCATCAGAACGGATCATAGTGGCGCCTTGATCTTGCCGTCTTCAGAATTGTATGAAAATTAATTTTCTATTATTTAAGCCACCCAGCCTGGGGTAGTCTATTATGGCCTTCCAAAATGAGTAATACAAGGAAACCAGGGCCATCTTAGCTTCACAGAGAGAAGATGTGGAGAGGAGTTAGGAGGCTGGACTTTGCTGATGGTGATATTCGATTAGTGAAAGGCTGAGAGGAGGTCAAATATACTTTTTGTGGTCCCAAAGATCAGAACCAAAATGGAGAGGTAGAAACAGCAAGCAAACAGGAAACAACCTAATAAAAGGAAAAGGAACTTGAGAGAATGCTGTGTCTCTGACAGTGGTTGGGATCTCATCACTGGAGATATCTGCACAGGGACTGTATTACTACTGAGAGGGGGCGGGGCTGAAAGGGTCCAAGCATTGCACTGTGACATGACCCCTCGTAAGTCCCTGTAGACCTTGGGACTCATGAGCTCACAATGAATCATTACAAACAGAAACAATTCCCTCTTATTTGTGGAGCGCACTAAAATTTCCAAAGCATTTTTATACGTACATTATCTCCTATGATTTAATATCAGAACATTAGAGTTGACGTTCAATACACATTTGCTGAATGAGGGAATGCATGAAGGGGCTATTGCAGTACCTTGGCTGGCAGAAGAGGAAACCGTGGGCAGAGTGATTTCTAGGCTTGCTAGGAAAGGCCAAACCAGGCTGGGACCCAGGTCTCTACCGTATTCTTCACTGCTCAGCTTTTCCAAGGTGGAAATGATAACATTTTCTCTGAGGCTGATGCTTTTCTGTTTGTGCTGCATTTTAGTAAATTCATCAATATCAGTATCCCCTTAATGCTCACAAATGCCCTTTGAAACACCTTTTATTATTCTTACTTTGCAAATGAGAAAATGGAGGCCTCTGGAGTTGAGTGAGCTTAGCAAGGCCTTCAACTCCCCTCGGGCAGAGCATTAAGGTTGCAGGCAGTTGAGCACCCTCTTCAAATGAATGTGAGCCAGCGTTGGCCCTGTTGGGAGTGCCAGGAGTTCTGGCAGAGTTGATGGAGACCCCATTTCGAGTCACGTGAATCAGTAGCCTAGGGAAACAGTAGTCAAACGGTCAAGTCATCCTTTCTTGCTCTCTTGCCTGATCCTCGGCAATTTCCCGGCCGCTCCTCCTGCTAGAGTCCCGTTTTGTTCCCTGTAAACAAATCCGTCTAGGAGTTCCCAGTCCTGGCTGTATACCATAGTCACCTACGGACCTGCAAAATCTGCTACTATCCACTTCATTCCCACCGTACGTCATAGATTAAGATTTAATTGATCTAGAGAGGGATCTCGGCTTTGGTATTAAAAAAAAATCTCTTTAGATGGTTGAGGATCAGCAAATTTTTGTTGGTTTGGGTTAGGTTTGTGCATTCAGGTTTGTGGGTTATTGGAATGAGGCATGAAGGGCCCTGCTATGTTCCCAGGGCCTGCTAGCTGTGTGCTGATTGCTTTTGGTTTTGTAGAAATGATTTCATTTCTCTTTCCTTGAAACTGTCCTAATTGGAGGTCATGGTCTAGTGGGATGGCATGTGGATTTATACTGCGACTCTTGTTTTTACTAGCTCTTTGACCTAAGAAAGGCCACCTCCCACTTATCTGTGCCTCTGTTTCCATCTCATCTGCAACATGGAGGTAATAATATTAGTTTTCTTATGAGCCTGTTGTGAGCATTAACACTTGGGACTATACCTGGTGAATAGTTAGGGCTCCATAAGTAAGACTTGCTTAATGGTTGGTGTGATCACTGCAATAGGCGCATGTGTGTGAGCGTACAAATGTATATAAGAGGCTGCGTGTGGTGGCTCAGGCCTGTAATCCCAGCACTTGGGGAGGTCGCGGCAGGCAGGCCACCTGAGGTCGGAAGTTTGAGACTAGCCTGACCAACATGGAGAAACCCCATCTCTACTAAAAAAAAAAAAAGCAAAATTAGCTTGGTTTGGTGGCACATACCTGTAATCCTGGGTACTTGGGAGGGTGAGGCAGGAGAATCACTTGAACCTGGGAGGCAGAGGTTGCAGTGAGCCGAGATTGTGCTGTTCCACTCCAGTCTGGGCAACAAGAGCAAAACTCCATCTCAAATAAATAAATAAATAAATAATCTGTATGAGATACTTTCCCCGGTTTTTTTTTTTTTTTTTTTTCCTTCTAGCAGAGTTAGTCACTTTCTCCTGTGTATAGGCATATCATCACTTCGTATTTCTGTTATGGAATTGTAATGCGTTTTTCTGTTCCCAACCAAATATATTCCTTCCACAAATGTTTATTGAACACTTGCTGAATGCTGAGGAATGGGAAAGGGAGACGCGCCCTCTGCCTCTTGGGCCGTTCGCACTTTGAAGCGGACAGATGATGAACAGAAGAAGTGGATCCCAGGTGGGGGCATGCTGGGATGCTACGGAGACGAGAACAAACGGTCCTTATCCGTACCTTGCTGTGGGGGAGACTCTCCTGACAGTCAGTTGTACCGTCTGCATTCTTTCTTCACCTTCCACTGTGGTGTCATGGGACCTACTGTAATTACGTACCTCTCTATCCCTCAACAGTAAGTCCTAATCATTGGGGTTAGGAACTGTGTTTTGTCAAATGAATTAATGAATGAATCACCCTGGAACAAAACAACTTTTTGTTCATTTTGTTCCAGTGTGATTCCTTCATTAATTCATTTGACTCAATTTAGCTTAAACAGCACATCCTGAGATGCTGTGTTAAATCCCAGAGTCACGAAAGACCTTTACAGAAATCTTTACAGTCTTCTGGGAACTGTAGACATGTTTATGGGGATGGGTCTGGACCACTGCGACTGCTGTAATGGCTGTTGTTCTGGTGAGCAGTGGGGACCCAGGCATTAGTTGGCCCTGTAATAGACATGTATGGGCCTGAGATAAATGTGTCAGTATCTCTCATAAAGCTCTGTTTTTTTTTTTTTTTCAAGGTGAGGGAATGTGTCTTTTCTGCATTCATCCCCTCCTAGGGTTTAGGTCCCCGCCTGACACATGGCAGGTGCACAGTGGATATGTAGAGAGTGGCTGGACAGATGACATCACTTTTCTCTGGGAGTTTGTCCTCATCTCTACAAGGGAGGTTTGCCAGTATTTTGAGGCTCTCCCTCAATGCTCACATTCTAGAATCCTGTGATGGGTTCTGAAGCAATGCTCCCTCACTGGAGCTGCTTGAGAAGGTCATTCATTATTTTTGACGTCCTCCGACTCTCATCATTGCTAGAAGCTGACTAATTATGAGAAGAGAAGTGAGGGCCTTGAAATGCCTCTCTCTCCACATCTGGCCTCACTGTCAAATAAAGTACTTATTTCTGATAAGCTCTTTGGCTTCTGTGAAGCCGCCTGGCTGTGTCTGGCCGTGGGCGGTGCTGATAATGAACCGAACAGAGAACACAGACTTGGCAGGGAAGGTGGGGACCCAGTGGGTAGAAAGAATGGGCTTTTTAGACAGTTTCAAAGTAACAAGAAGGCTTTGAGAGTGCTTAGTGATGTCTGCTACCACATTCACCTTCTCTGTTTCCATTGAAATTTAAGTTCTAGATGGACTGAACCTGACTAAGAAAAGGCAACATGGACAGGAAAGCTAATGACAAATGCAACTAGGTTATTTCTGGAGTCCTTTGTACCCTCAGAGCATTGTACACTGAACTTTCTTCATCTGGACTCTAGGAGCACTTAAGCAATTAGCATGCCACCAACTGGGTACTGTGGAAGATCACAGACTTTGAAACTTTCCAAGAAACTAGTGGGAATCAACATCTTATGAGCAGTGTATCCTTGACAGTTTAATTTACCACTTTGAGCCTTGGTTTCCTCATGTAAGAGAAAGAAAAGAGGTGTTTTGTTTTTTTTTTTTGAGACAAGGT